AGAAATTAATGAAATATCATATAAACCAATAATACATGAAGTACGAAAAGTTACTGTTCCAGTGAAAACTGAGGTGAGTGCTTTGGACAGATAAAATAGAGTTAGTTTAAAAATTGCTTTTGAAAAGCAATATAAAAGTTTGAAGGGAAATTATAAAAATCTAGAGTAATTTATACTCAGACTGCTTTATAAAAAGCTTTTAAGTTCTTTCTTCACCTTAAAGAAATTTCAACTAGAATTCGTAGATAACATATATGGGTATAGTTTATGCAAGAAAGAGGCTCCAATCAGCAAACCTATATTAAAAGATTTATGAATGAATGTACTTTTTAAAAATTACAATAAAATGATGATATATACAAATCATTTTTTATTCTCTCCTGTCTTTTTTTTATTAACCAAACAGCTGCCAGTCCCAATTGTGTTGGATAATAGGGCATCCACTGCACTTTACAATTTAACCTAAGAAAGACTAGTCCTATGAGATCTGTAATCAAAGATGTCATAAAATTCTCAAGAGAAAGCTAACTTTCATTTTTAAAAGTGTATGTTCTCTAAAATATTTGTAAAGACGTGGAGTGAGTAGCTAATGACAGCCCAAAAAGTTCAGATTCACTGCTCAGTTATGGTGAACTAAAGTAATTTAAAAAAAAAATGCTCAGAGCAAGAATACTTAAAAAAATTAGTCCAAGTAAAAAATTCCCTTTTTAGAGCTTCTCTGAGTAATCCAGGCCATTATTCCACCTGGAGTAGTGAATCTAGTTCAGCTAACATCAGGAAGTATTGAATAGCAGCATACTAAAGTGATAGCAAGGGGGAAATTAGGGCATCTTATCAGAGCTAGAAGCAGCGTTGTCAGTTGAGATTAAATTTAATCAAAAGGTGAAAATAGTTTTGGGCATGTTGGAAAATGAAGAATTTAGCAAAGATGTTTAATGCATCATGCATTATTTTTCAATCTGAGACATGCATCCTAATTAAATAGTTTAAAATTTAATTTTTAAGTTTAGGAAATTTAAGTTTTCTAAGTTTCTGTTTTAGGGTCAGGATAATTGTTTAGGCCTCAGATGCTTTGAATCTAACTCAGATGGATAATGGCTAGCATGCTGTGTTAGTTCAGATCTTCTGAAAGCAGACACAAATATGGCATTAGATTTGCAAGAAATTTATTAGGGTAAATGCATCTGAGAGAAAATGGGAAGGAAGCCAGAGAAGGCTGGGAGAGGTGTTAGACCACAATGTGGATGTGACCCAGAGTGAAGGAGAAAGGGAAGGAAAGTTGGTATAAGCATCTTAGACTGCAGTAAAGTTCTAAGGAAAGTTTACCAAGGCTGTTAGAAAGTTCTCAAGCCAAAGTTAACCTGTCAGAGTTGCCTGTCTCCCAGGAATAGACCTTAGTATCCCTGCTGCACTCAGTCATTGGCAGGGAACAGCCTGTGGGAACTGGCCTTGGGACCAACGTGGTGATAGATTTCAGAATGCGGTACTGGGCTGTTGGCCAGTTACAGAGTCAAAGATCTGAGAAGTGCACTTCTCATGGCTACGACACATGAAATCATGGCGTGCTGTACGTTTATATATATATTTACCAGGAGGTACAGTCAAAGTAAGTACATGGTAGGATAGAATTCTGATAGTACTCTTTCATTAATTGTCTAATGAGCAAGTACTATATTTTGTGCTGAGATTGAGATTCATAAAGAAAAAATGAAGTATGTATAATCTAGTGGATTATAAGTATTAAAAGTTAGCATAATCAGTGTGCTATAAAAGACTGTCATGGATAAAGGTCTGGCAGGGTATTCAATAAATTGTTTTTTAAAAAAAACCATTGCCATCAAGTCAATTCTGACTCATAGCAACCTTATAGGACAGAATAGAACTGCCCCATAGGATTTCCAAGGCTGTAAATATTTACGGAAGCAGACTGCCACATCTTTTTCCTGTGGAGTGGCTGGTGGGTTTAAACTGCCAACCTTTTGGTTAGTAGCCAAGCACTTAACCACTGCACCACCCACCAAACCAAACCAAACCCAACCCCTTGCTGTCGGGTTGATTCTGACTCATAGTGACCCTGTAGGACAGAGTAGAACTGCCCCATAGGATTTCCAAGGAGCGACTGGTGGATTTGAACTGCCTACCTTTTGGTTAGCAGCCAAGCCCTTAACCACTGCACCACCGCGGCTCTTTAATAGATTATTAACAATGGTTATTCCTAAAGAGTGGAATTGAAGGAAACAAGGAAGCAAGGAGAGGGCTTAAATTTTTTACTTTATATAGTCCTGTATTAGAGTTTATTACAAGCAGATATTTTATAATTAAAAGAGCGTTAAAAAAATTTTTAGCTTTTCATGATTGAGGAAAGAATCATAGAATGAGTAATAGTTTCTGATTGGTTCATGTAGGTTTAATTATGCTGTAAGGCATGGCCTCTAGTCTTTGGCTTCTTTTATAGAAAAAGAAAAGTTACTCAGCAAACTTAGTGAATTAAATATTTCACTTGATCGTCAGGTTCTATTACTTTTTCTTTTCCTTCTGCTTTCTTTAGGTTTAATTTACTGTTCTTTTTGTAGTTTCCTAAGGTGGAATCTTAGATCATTGATTTGAAACCTTTTCCAAGATAGACATTTATAACTAAAACTAGTGTAAATGTCATTTTTAAAATTTCATTTTCTAGTTGTTTGTTGTGATGCCTGATTATCTTTGGATGATACCTGGACATTTTATTAAATCTTACAGAAACAGTTTGATGCTCTGGTTGATATTTTAATGCAGAGAGGATTTCTTTTTGCTTTTGGCTAGCAGTTAGGCTAGATGCAGATCACTTTAACCAGGAATTGAGCTGATTGAAAAAGGAACTTCATTTCTAGTAAAGGTTCGTCTGTTTCCTGTTCATTCTTGTTCATAGGGTGTAGCCCTTCAGGGTCCAACTGAAATACACAGTAGCAGGCCTTAGTATGCATTTGTTGAATGGATGTCACAATCTAAATATGTAAACAGTTTTTGTTACTTCACAAGCTAATGTTTTATCATTCTCAGAGGTCAGTAGTGGAACATGCCCTGGAACATGAGATATTGATGAGAAGAGGACTGAACTCCTGGAGTATGCATGCCTGTTTTTTTAGTGGTCCAGTTGAAGAAAGGTTGTCTAATATTTAGCACAACACCAGATTTTCTGAGGTCAATTTGATACATAAAATTGAAACATGTCTTGTGTTTCCTCTCAGCCAGTTTCTCTTTAGAAGAGAACTCTGTGTGTGCATTATCTTCCCTTACTAGAAAATGTCTAAAGCAGCTTCTATATTTATTCATATTTCTATTTTAAGCCAGATCTTTTTAATGAGATCCAAAATTTTACACTAACTATCTACTTGGTAATTTCACATGACTGTCTAATAGGCATCTTAAAATTAGCATATTCAAAACAGAAAATTTGATTCCTTCCTTCCACCCCACCAGTCCAGAAATGCAGACCATCTACTACTTGCTTATGACAAAAACCTAGGCATTTTTCTTGATTCCTCTCTTTTGCTTAATCCCTACAACCAGTCCATCAGCAAGTCCTCATTCTATCTTCAGCCTCCAAAATACGTCTCAAATTTGTCTCTTTTTCTATCTCTACTGCTACCATCCTAGCCCAAGCCACTGATATCTCTAAGTGGTTTTCCTATTTCTACTCTTGGCCCTCTATGATCCATTCTTTACAAAGCAGTTTGGGTAATCTTTCAAAAAGGAAAATCAGATCATGTCATTGTACTGCTTAGTACCTAATGGTTTTTCATTGCAACTGAAATAATATGTAAACAAACCCCTCACCATGGCCACAAGGTCCTACATGAGCTGTCTGTCTTCCTCTTCTACCTCATCTTGTACCCCTGTTCTCACTTACCAGACAGTCACGCAGCATGTTTTCTTCCTGTTCCTCAAGCACACCAAGTTTGTTGTGCCCTTAGGGCCATTGCAGTAGCTATTCTGTCTCCCAGATCTTTGCATAGCTGGCTCCTCATCATTCAGGCTCAGCTTAAACATCACTTCCTCCTCCAAAAAATCTTTGCTGACTCCCCAGTCTAAAGTAGCCCACCCTCCTAAATTCTAGAGGAACCCAGTTCCCTCATTACCATCTCCTCTGTATCTTCACCCAGCTTAATTGCCTGCATAGCACTACTTAAATTATCTATCTATCTACTATCTGTTTGGGGCCTTGGTGGCACAGTGGTTAACAGCTCGGCTGCTAACCAAAAGGTCGGCAGTTCGAATTCACCCGCTGCTCCTTGGAATCCCTGTGGGGCATTTCTACTCTTAGTTTTGTTATCTTTCTCTTCTCCCTATCTCTCTCCATGCTTCCATTCTGTCCCCTACTGGAATATAACATTGTGCTATGTGTCTCATTTATTGCTGTATTCCCAGTACCTAGAATAGTGTCTGGCACAGAGTAGAAAGTAGTAGGTATTTGTTGAATGAAAGAATGAATCAATTAACATTTATCTCACAAGATAGAATAGAAATTCAAAGTAAATTATATTTCCTATTGTTTTCTCAAACCTAAGATAGAGCTTTTCTTGAGTATAATTACGGCGAGTTCTAAACTAGAACTCAGGACCTTTAGAGTTTTAGTCTTTTTATTGAGATTCCCACAAGATGTTAAATAACATCTTTTGGTCTTTATTTCTCTTTGTAAATGGTTTATTACTCTCTTAGTCATGGAAATAGTCTCAATTATTATCATTAAAAAGCCTTTATGAAAAAAATTAGATAAGAAGGGTATGGAATTAAATGTTTTAGTTGAACAATAAAATACTCAGGTATAAATATAGGCAGTTAGAATACTTGGGTATAAATATAGGCTTATAAATTTTTTTATTATAATAATCCTACCTGTGCATGCAAACGACAAAAGATAGTCATGTTTTAGGAGGTTAAGATGAAGAGTTTCATTAAAAACTTGTATTTTGCATAGTGCATAAATGTTTACCTGTGTTTTTTTTTCCTCTCCCCTTTAGGGCCATTTTAAGTGCCAGATCTAGTTATTTTGCTGCAATGCTGAGTGGCTGTTGGGCTGAAAGCTCCCAGGAGTGCATTACTCTTCAAGGGTAAGCATAATTTTTACAAGGCAGCTTGACTGCAAATGATCACAAATAATACTTCATACAAAGCACTTTTTATGAATCTGATTTCTCTGTAAGCTCAATGAAATACGTCTCATGTAGTAGAATTCAGTGAAGTACATTTTCTGAAAACAAGAAGTAGTAGGGACCATTTGGTAATAGAGGTGGTTTCTGATGATTTAGGATTTTAAATGCCAGGCTAGGGAGATTATTATCCTGTGTGTAAAAGGGATGCATAGATAGACCAGTTGGTGAAATTGCATCATTACTGTTGAAAAACAACCTGAAGGATGTATCCTACTGTTGAAATCCCTTCCTGTATGACGACTTTGAAATATCTGCTTAATGTAAGAAGAGCAGTGTTAGCAGAGCCAGAGTCTAAGTGTGCCAATTCTAGAGATAATCACTTTTGTGTAATTTTGAAAGCTTGTCCAGGGACTATGCTTGATATAGTCTGAACCTCATTTTCAAGAACTGTGAATTCGCTCTCATGAGAACTGAATTCAATAAAAATTGAAATGGAAAAATAACACTACTTTGACTCAGAGTATAACATTTTGGCATTTATTAATTATGTGATTCTGTGTAGCGAGACAAAGGTCAAACAAGTGTATGATTTATGAGACCTTATTCTACAGCAGGGGAAGGTAATCTAGAGAGAGCACATGACTGATTTTTTTCTGGAAGAAATCTTATCTCCTTGTAGGTTTAGTGATAGTTTTTACTACGTGATACCTATTATGACTGTCGTTGTTCCTCTCACCAAATAGATTCCGTCCTCGGCAGTAATGATGTATTAACATAACACTTTATATTTTCTAGGCTTCTTTAACAGTCACTATGTCCAGTAATTTTTAGAATCAATCTTTGAGATAGGGAAGGTGTATTCACATATTACAGATGAGGAAAATCAAGCTCAGAAAAGTTAAATGTTTTCCCAGGGCCTTCTGATAAATAAGTGCTTATGCTGAAAATAAACCCCATGTTTGTTGATTCTTAATTCAAAATCTGTTGCACCACAGTCACTGAAGAAGTATGTGTTCTTGGATATATGTTTTTGAGCTAGCTCAGACTGCTCTTCTCCTCCACTGTTTAGATCAGTGATTTTCAAACTTTGTTCAGTAGAACCCTAAAGTTCCTGGTAGGTACGTTACGGAACACATGGTATCGGGTTGGTTTCTGAGGGGAAGGCCATTTGGAAGGTACAGTTGCTCTATTTTTATCTCTTTTGTATTGTTCAAGATGACCTCTGAGTTTAGCTACAGGAATCCAGCCAAGGGGACTCCTTTTTCTCAGTCTTCCTTAATTAACACACATAAACTGATCAGATTAAACATTAAAACACTCAACTGTTTAAAAATGAGGCCTTTTTATTAAGAGGTCAGTGGACAAGGAAGAAGTAGTGGCATCAACTGCTGGTCTCTACTCCTTCACCTATAGTTTTCCATCTTTGATTGATGATGGAGGTGGCTGATAATGGAGAAATCTCTCCTTTTACAATGTGGCTTTACTGCTGGCTAACTTTACTAGTTTGTCCAGAGGAAAGCCAAATAGAAGTAGCCAAACTGGTGTCAAAGTATCATCCAAATGAGTAGACTGTACATTGTAGTACTACCAGCCATGATTAGGCTCAGTCCTCTTACAGTATTGTTCCTTCAGTTCCGTTGTCATACGCAAGAAAGACTCTGCTCCTTACAGGTTCATCTGACCCAGAGCTGCTATATTGGTGGTGGGGGCTCACTGCTAATGCTAATGCATTGAAAATGAGGATACATTTCTTTTTGGTTCAACTCCTTTATCTTGCTTGATAAAGCAAGGTTTTATAATACAAAAATGATGTTTGAAAGTATTTCCTGATGAATACATAGTTTTATCTTGTCCTTTATTACTATTATCACACAGTGCTATAATAAATAGTTTACCCATTGCCGTTGAGTTGATTCCAACTCATAGTGACCCTATAGGACAGGGTAGAACTGCCCCATAGGGTTTCAAAGGCTGTAATCTTTATGGAAGCAGACTGCTACATCTTTCTCCCAAGGAACGGCTGGTGAATTCAAACCACTGACCTTCTGGTTAGCAGCCGAGCGCTTAACCACTGTGCAACCAGGGCTCCTTAATAAATAGTAAAGTAAATATGTTTTACTTTTCCCTATTGTATCTTGTATCAAATTGACTGTTTCAAATTACCACCTAAGATTTTATCAGTATGATGGAACGTAGAGCTGTTGGAAGGAATTTTAAAAAGTAAAATTCTTAAAGGGTATTTAAGAATTTTACTTCTTAAAAATATCATATCTTTTAGGAATCTTTGTACTGCAACAAAGTAATCTATGAAACAAATTCCATTTTCCCATTAACTTATATTGTAAACTAGGGAAGATGTTTCCATGGGCAGTATGGTGTAGTGGAAAGAGCGTGGATTTTCATGTCCTTATGCCAGTTGTAAAGAACCAAATAAAGTGCTTGGTAAGTAATATATAGTATTCATTAATATTTGTCATTTTCTTCTTTCCCTAAATTAGATTGTTCTCACTTTCTAGAGAGAAAGGTTCAAGTGAGGGCCATTTTAATACTAGGACAGCTATGCTAGTTTTGCACAACCAGTAGCTTCCTTAGAATTTTGCAGCTGTATTATGATTTTGCAGAACATTTTCTACAAATAGATTAGAGTGAAATCCTATGTATCCCTACAGAAAAGAATCACAATGTTTTTAATGAGTTGGTAACTCAAAATTATAATACACATGATATTTTTCAAGAGAGACAGCCTTCAATAAATTGAGGTGGGGATAGTAGAGTCCTATAATCCTAGTTCCACCCATGCCCCCAGAGTTGGGGGGATGGAATGATATAGCTGGGAGGAAATTCTCTCATTCTAGGAGGAAGGGGGAAATTTTCCACACTCTGTAATAGAAATTGAATCACAGCAAATACTTCTTTGAAGGAACCCAACCTAGTTTCATTTTATCTAAAAGAAGTCTTACAGTGGTGGCTGGGGGCTTTGGAGCATGAGTTTGGATTTTCTCATCTCCCTTGGGGGATTCCTAGTATTGCTGTGAATCTTCAGAATGATCTTTTGAAATATAAATCAGATCATATCTCTCTCCTGACTAACGCCCTTCAGTGCCTTCTCATCACAATTAGAATTAAACCTAAACTTTTTCCCCTGACATGTAAGACCCTGTATGACCTAGCTCCCTTTCTTCTCCCTCATTTTGTACCATTCTTTCTCTCATTTGTTGGCTTTCATATCAGCCCTCCAATAAGCTCATTCATGCCTCATGGCCTTTGCACTTGTTCCATCTGCCTGAGTTTTTCATCTAGTCTTTTCATGGCTGTCTTCTTTTCATGCTTGCAATATCAGCTCAAGTGTCGCCTTTCCAGAATACCCCACCTGAAGTAGCTACAGCCCAACTCCCCAGTTACTGTCTCTTGTATTCTCCTGCTGTATTATCTTCGCGGCACTTTTCCCTGGCAAAATTTTCTTCTTTATGTATTTGTTTACATGTTTATTATTCATGTCCTGTCTCTAGAATGTAAGCTTCTTTTATCCCCAAAGTCTAGAATAGAGCAGTAAATATTGAATGTGAATGAATGAAGTCCCTATGCATATTTTAGCCCATATACAGGAGTCTTAAACTTTAGGAAGCCCAATTAAAGCACAAATACTTTAGTAGGCTAGGGATAGGTTCAGTCGATCTGTAGTCTCTGTCCTCTTACAGTTTTTTTTTTCCCCTAATTCTGAGCATATGTAATGTTTTCATCCCCAGCAAGCTTTTGTTTTGATTACATTTTAATGGGAATAGTACTTTAAATCTTCTCATTAAATTGTAGACTATTGGAATAATTTATTTTTTTTCTAGGTCAGTTGAACATGTCTTTATAAACACATTTAGTAAAAATATAAATGACTTAAAGCATAATAATCAGAATGCACTTTAGTGAAACATCTGTCAAGACAGCAGGAAAATGGTTTCTTGCTGTTTTTATAGCTATCATATATATTGATACATAGGTTGGAATGTCTAGATTTTGATATTTATTGTAATTGAATTGTATTGAAACTTCTTTTTATTTAGTCATTATTTTGCTTAAACATGTCAAGTCTTAAAAAGAAACCATTCTTTAAACATAAATACCCAATTCTCATTAATGTTGATAAGAATGGTTCTTGAGAATCTGAGAAAAAAATCTATGGAATAATATATGTTCTAGTAATTATGCTAGTATTTTAAAAGATAAACAAAATGCAGATAATATGGCTCAGTTATGAGATTAAATCTTGTCATATCCATTTAGGAGGGAAGTAAAATATATAAATGAGCATACTCTGAGATTTAGCTTTTTATTTCTAAGTATTAAAATAAAGATGCACAGCTGTGGGTCAGCAGGTACTAGTAGGGAGCAGTACATATTTATTAAATTAATGGAAAAATATTTATATACTTTCAGCCCTGAAGGTTTAGGAAGATGGTATAAGTGCCCTAATACACCATTCATCAATTCATCAGATATTTATTTAGCATGTATTACACAAGGCCATGGAATCAAAGCAAATTCCTTTCTCACTCCTACTCTCCAGGACTCGTTTCTTTTCTTCTTGCCTTCCTTGTTTTGTTCCCTTAACAAATATTAGGTAGTACGCCTAGCAAACTTTGGGATCTTATCATCCCTCTCCCCACCCTATTTCCAATGCAGAGCTTTGGTGTTATGGGGGGAAAAGGAAATTCTTCTGATCCTGGGGGCACTGAATCAATGCTGACATTCTGGTGGCACTAGAGATACAAGGATAATAAGACACAAATCCTACCCTCATGATGCTCAGTCTAGAAGGAGAGACAAATACATAAACAAGATATTATAAATCAGTTTGATAAATGTGACAGTGGAAGTATGTATAATATACTGACTAGTTAAGAGCTCAGGCTTTGAGTTAATCTGCTTGGATTTAAATTCCACTGTATCACTAGCTGTTTGACCTT